GGCACCATCTAGTTGTGCTGGACTCAGTCTGGTGGAGGCTGTGGTAGTTGTGGTCCATTAGTCCTTTGACCTAATCTTTCCCTTGTGTCTTTTATTTTCTTCAGCAAGAAAAAGTTTTATTATTAGTATTTTTCTTTTTCTAGCTTGATAGAAAAAAAATCAGATATAGCCAATAGAATGACCCTTAATTTTGGGCTGATCAAACAAAAAACAAATCAATCTGACCAAGCAAAAAAAAAAAATTTCTGTATAGTCCAGGTTGCTTAATTTATTAATTGCAAAGAAATACTTATTTCTCGTTCCCTAAGCAAAGAGAACAGGAACTCCTCTGGAATACTAGATGAGGATTGAAAGCCATCTCTGAGTTACAGAAACAGCAAGTTTTGGGTACAGGGCTTGCTGCCTCCATTTAAGAACATGTGTCACTGTTCTTAAGTGTACTTTATGGTCTCCTCCCCAACCAACTGTAGCCCATCAGAAGATGCTGCAAGTTCTTATGCTGCAGACACACTTTGCCTGCATTTTATCTAACTTGTGTCTTTGAGAAGCTGAAAAAGAATTTGCACCCTGTATTAAGTTGTCAAGGATTTCAGTTTACTTGGATCCGCAGTCAATGCCCTTGGAAGCAGCAGTCAAGGAATCAAACGATGCATCGCATTGGGCAAATCTGCTGCAAAAGAGCTCTTTAAAGGGTTAAGAAGCAAAGATGTCACTTTAAGGACTAAGGTGCTACCAACGCAAGCTATGGTGTTTTCAATCGCCTCATATGCATGTGAAAGCTGGACAATGAAGAAGGAAAACTGAAAAAGAATTGATGCCTTTGAATTATGGTGTGGCAAAGAATATTGAATATACCACAGACTGCCAGAAGAAGGAACAAATCTGTCTTGGAAGAAGTACAGCCAGAACGCTCATTAGAAGCAAGGATGGTGAGACTTTGTCTCACATACTTTGGACATGTTATAAGGAGGGACCAGTCCTTGGAGAAGGGCATCATGCCTGGTAAAGTAGAGGGTCAGCAAAAAAAAAGGAAGACCCTCAAAGAGACAGACTGACACAGTGGCTGCAACAATGGGCTCAAGCATAGCAACAATTGTGAGGATGATGCAGGACCAGGCAGTGTTTCGTTCTGTTGTACGTAGGGTCGCTACAAGTCAGCAT